TCATATACACTAGCCCTAAGAAACCTGGATTGACCTTGCACTTTTTGATGCAGGTTGTTCTAAGCCCTACTCCAGTTTAGGGGCCAGGTATGACATGGTTTGTAGTTTCTCAGAGCTGAAGCAAAAGTATTCACTACTTTCTGTTGGCTTCCTTGTACTTGTTGCATTGTTGGTCAAAAGTAGAACTGGGCAGTAGTTGTAGTTGCTAATGGATAAATCGATGGGCTCAATAATCATTACATTTGATTAATCGATTAATATACTATGCCTCCTACCACTTGTTGAAAAAAAAAAACAACAACAACACAATTATGTGCTTATTGTCTTAACTCTTTGAACTGATATATGATTGTAACATGGTATTAATTTTCCTATTTTCTTTGACATTTTTTGTTTTTTTTTTAAAGTAATTTTTGAATTAGGCTTGGTTTCATATTATAGGCCTTGTATGAAGGTCACAATATTGACATTTGTGAAAAAACATATTTTTTGTCAAAAAATAAGTTTCCCACAAGTTTCATTGACATTTCCTGCTTGGCGGATGAATCACTAATGTCGACTATGTACTACTACGTGATCGTCATTGTTTATTTCTCAAATATGCAGTAATTCCACACTGATCTTCTGCAAATAAAATAAGTTGATAACTAAATAATAAAACTTTTTTACTCCCACAACGAGAGTAATGATATATTTATTTAAAATATGTGAGATAGCAAATTCTATTTTTTTTTTATGAATATGATTATGTTTATCATTCATTTGTTATTTCCCTCTGTTATTTAGTTTATCTATGAATTTTCAGTTGCATTAAAATGCTAACTTACCTTCTAGCTAATCATTTGTATTTTGAATAAATATGTATGTATGATGAAACTGACACCAGCTTCCCTAGTGGTGAAGTAAAAATACTATTGTTGCATCTCTAGTCGTTAGTTAATTTTCCGTAAAATTTCTTTCCGAAGAAACTTTAGCGATACAAGTCCTTTCTTAAATAAAACTAGTTTATTCTTTCTCAATACAACTTTGCAATACACTTAATTTCCACAGCCACGCTATAACTTAAACAAACGCTATAATTCACAATGAACGAACGATTCATGCACTTGACTCAATTGTCGTCTCTATCTCTGTCTATAATTCAATTCTCTTGTTGCCGTCACTTCTTGGTGGTCTTATATACAGAATACCGCACATCTAGTAAACACTCGAGGCTTCACGAAGGGACATGAATTTAGTCATGCCTGCTCATTAATATTAAAAAAAACTAAAAATTAGTGAAAATGTAAGAAATGAACAAGATATATAAAAAAATAGAACAGCTAATATCTAATAAGAAACATAACTTATGTACATAGCTAACATGCATTAGGTTTCTGTTGAAATAAGAGGAACTGAAACATATTTTGATCTTATTTACTGATATATATTTGAGTGTGAGTGGCAGTTAGTGATTATTAGCATGATAAAAAATTTACTTAGATTAACATGATTTAGTTCGTATAAAAGAAGTAAATGCAAATTCACAAAGTTGTTTATCATAAATTTTCAAAAAAGTGAAGTGTTGCTTATGAAAGAAATTTTGTGTTGAATAAACTTACAGGTGTTATGAAGCAACTTGCTGATTAAAATCACTAAATAAATTAGTGTTTTTGCTATGTATTCATTAAAAAGTTCAGTTGAAAAAATAGCCAAATTATTAATGAGGCATTTGTAAACGTACCACTTTCACTTTTGCTTTTCAAGTATTCGTGTTTTCGGAGTGCTTACAAACTGTTCAAGTTACACACTAGTCAAAGAGTGTGTCCCACTTTAATATTTTTGTGCTTTTTCATGAATGATACTTTTTGGAGATCTAGTTTTAATTTTGTATTTACTTTCACTAGTACTATCACTTTCATTAAGTTAATATAAATGCCTGGAGACTATGTTCTCCTTGCTTTCACCTATGGGGTGACAGTAATGTTGGTAGCACCTTCACTGTGAGATAATGTTATATTCTTTCATTCTTCATTAAGAATTCCTTCTGATATGATCTCTCACAGTAAGAGAGAAGTGATGTTTTTCATCTTCATGCATTCATCTTTGACTTGTGTTATAATTAAATAAAGATTATCGTTCACTTTGTTGTACATTGTGTTTATTTTTTTCTTCTACTCATTCAAGACAAAAATTCAGTTTGAACTGTGCATAACCTCTTTTTTGCTGTATCTCTCATTATTGTGGTACTGCTCTTATCTGTAAGGTAAATAGTGTACCCAACAAAATCACAGAGGGATATTTGATTCAAATTACTAAGCAAGTTTGTAATGATCATACATGAATTAAGAAACTTGAGGAACAAACAACTGCTGTAGTTAACTGGGAAAAAGAGAGAAATGTGTTTATTATATACAGTACTTAATACCTTAAGTTTTTTCTCATAACTGCTAGAGGAGTTTGCTTTATTTTGCTGTGTTGAATTACATCCCAAATTTATGTTGTAGTTCTGTTATTGTGTTAGTGTTGTGTACAATTTGCAGCTTTCGTGACTGATCTGAAAATTAAAGTTTTGTTTCATATTCAATTGGTGATATGCAGCTAGTCCTCTGTATATGCATTAGTGCTGTTAAGAGATTTACACTCCACTTGGCCTGATATTTTTCTCTAACTTTTAACTTGTGTATTTCACTGTGGTTTATATGATGTTATATGTGATTGTGTATGTTGCTTGTTCTTGTTAATTTGTTCAATTTGCATTCAGTTAATGACAGAGCATAAAACAATAAAACTGGAAGTGAAAAGGTAAACTTACAAGTAAACATAATTCTTTGTTTGGATTGATGGTATACATTCAATTATAAGTATTGAAGCATTGTTTGGATTGGTGGTATACATTCAATTGTAAGTATTGAAGCCTTGTTTGGATTGGTGGTATGCATTCAATTATAAGTGTTGAAGTAAACCTAAACATTAATATAAATGTGATCAGATAGCATGTCTTTTATAACAAAAATTAAGAACAAATGTTACCACTTTCACATTACTTTTGTAACTTAATGAAATGGTAATTTTATTGGTTATTAATATTTTTTTATGTTTAATTTATTCATGGAAGGGTTATTTAGTTACTTTTTTATGTATGTTGTAAGAATTTGTCTGTGAAACATACATGTACAGTATATGCAATTGTACATGTTGCTGTAGTATGGTAAATAAATACTTGGTAGCAAATGTCAGTAGTGTGACTGTTAACTTTACTTATAACTTTATATTTAAGTATGTGGTATATTCAGTTAAGATTAAATTAACTGTTGAGCAATGGTATAAGTTCACTTAATAAAAGGTAATTCCATCAAAATACCTATTACTAAGTAATGCTATATCTTCTAGTAACTGAGTCATGAGCATGAATGAACAAAAGAGACTGGACACAAAGGGATACACTAAATATACAGTCTTTACTGTCATCAGACTTAACACAAACACATTGTATGTACTTACCTTACTGACTCATAGGACGATTGATTTTGCGGGAATCTTCTATCTTCAACTGACCAGGCTGAATTTATGTACCCCAAACAAGTCATTCTTATTAAAACATAGATGAGGCTATAACCTTGAGATATTCCATGAACTACCATTGTAGACAGTGTTGTTTGTATTATTGCACAATGCTCAAAATTACAACAATGTTACCCATGAATAAAACAGGTATTATCTACTCAAGAATAAATGAAGGAACAATGGCAGCTAGAATGAGGTGAATTTAACAGATTTCTCAACCACATATTATGTAAAACCTGCACATATACAAAATGAATTATAAATTCAGAATAAATACTGTAAGAATACAAGAAGATAGAAAAACATAATATTGTCCTACAGAGCAAGTATATGACTTTAGTAAAATATAAATTTAATATTTCACATGTACCAGATATTGGAAAAGCATTAATTATATCATTACGATTAGCTTGAATATTTTGTGTGAATTTCTGTATATGTGTGTGTTTTCCAATAGTTGTTAACTAGTATAATACCTAATTAAAGCCAGAGTACTGATGAGTTAGACCACCAGTTAAAGGCACAAGCATCTCTTAGCTGTAAGGGACTGTATTTATTGTTTTGGGAAATAGTCATGTTTATTCAGTAATCTAAGTAAAAAAAGTGAATGTTTGTATTGTTTTGAGAGTGATTAAAGGATTTATTTACGTGGTGCTTCTTACATTGATGAAAGAATACTATAAAGGATATTCAGTTGTAAAGAAAATCCCAATCTGAAGAAGTAGATGTTAATCTTCATCTTTAAAAGTATGTGTACATAAAAGCCTAGGTTCTGCAGCAGGATTTTTATGCTTAGTCAGTGGATGTTTTGTATGCTTATATGTCATGTGTTTGTAAATATTTTATATTGGATTTGCAAATATATAGTAATACATTTCTCAGAGAAAAAGTGTTTGAGGGGAACAGTCTTCTTTTAGTTGCTTGAAGCTATGCATGCAGTTAAGTTGTAAAGAACCAATTTTTACAGGAATGTTATTTGGGTCAAATATGACAACAGCTTTCAGACTAAGTAATCATTTCCTTCATCATTAAACAGTTTTTATTGTTTGTTTAACCTTTACATTTATGTAACTTATTCCAGTCTGCTATGCTACATGAATACTAAAATATGTTAAACACCTGGTAGACATGGGGTAATATTTTATAACTTTTTCAAAAAAAATTGAACTTGTTTGCTGAGGTATTTTCTTTTTGTCAGTGTTTTTTTTTTTCAAAATATACTACAATCCTCATAGGCAGTTTAAAGCCAAATTTTCTTGGTTTACTTATATTACAAGTTATATACATGTATAATCAATTAATTAGTAAACAAGTGGAGATACAAAACAATAATGTTTGAACATAGAAAAGTTGTTAGCATAACCTAAGAAAAAAGGCTTGTTTTTGCACAGTGTTTATTTTTTCATGGTGTTTTTTGAATGTTTAATGTATTGACACCAACTTTTCCCTTGCAGCCAGTGATGATGAAAAGTTTTCCAAGAAAGACTTAATTATTGGAAAGAGAAAGGACAAGAAGGACAGTAAGAAAGAAAAAGGGTACATAGCATTTGAGGGTGAAAGCTCAGATAGTGAAATGGATGAATCACGGTAGGGAACTTCTTATAATTGAAAATGTTTGTAAAATTATTAATTGGATTTTTTTAAATATAATACTGAAGACTAAGAAGACTAGCTTGTTGAAAGTGGGAACAAATTTTGTCAGGTTTTGTAAGGTCAGATTCTTTACAGTAGGTGTATGTGACTTGTTGGTGATAAATGTTAACAATAAACAAAAGCACACAGTTCACTTGTTTTAAAGTAATATATTAAAACAAGTCAAAGGTATGTACAGAACTTTGCTACACTGTTAGTTATCACATTTGTATCCAGAGCTTTAAATAATTGTCTCTCTTTTTTTTTCATCACCATCCATACTGGCTGGTTCAGTTACTTTAGAACACAATTGACAAGACAAATTATTCTTATCTACTCTTATTACAATGCAGTCTGTGATAATTTCACTTTAACATTCACTACTATACATGCTTTATCACCAAATTCATGACCTCACAGTCTAGTACTAGAACTAAATAATGTTTTTTAACATGTGTTTATATCTCGACAGAAATCTAGAACATTCCATGCAGTAGCAGATATCTTGATACAATAATACTCCATTAAACCAATGAGAAACTCGGAAAGCTCTAGCAACATTATGCAATATTTTCACTTTTAAACAATTACTAATTCATAACAATTGAACAACACAATGTATGATTCATAAGCAAACTTACCATAAAATATCACTTCTAAAAACAACTAAGTATGATACTTGTGCCATATAAACTACCTAAATCATGATGCTCGCATTAGCTTTGTTTCTCAGTTAAATTTATCACATATTTTGGATCTTATATTTATATAGTTTTTGTTATATGGGTATGCTGCATAATTAAAATAAATAGTTCAAAAATTCAAGGAGTCCAGGCAAAGGAAAGAAGTCTAAAGCTACATTTTTTAAGAGGGATAAAACTGCCAAAGGAAAAGATAAAGAAGTAAAAGAAGCCAAAAAAGAGGAAGAAAGGGAAAGCAAGAAAGAAAAGGATGTTAAAGAAAGCACAAAGAAAGACAAAGAAACAAAAGATTCTAAAAAAAAGAAAGAAAGTAAGGTGAAACTTGGGAAATCCAAAGATAAAAAAAAAAAATATTCAGACAGTGAAATAAGAGGTGAGTTTTCTACTAATTTTCCAAGTATGTTTTAACTATAGGACACATTTTGTGGAATTACTTAATATGTATATACCATTAGTTATTTGATTTTTCTTCAAAATTATTATATCCTTTTAGACTTTGCTTCCATAAAGTTTAAGGATTGCTAAAATAAATCTGTAAAGTAGTGTACATCAAGAGTTAAAGAGGGAAAATCAGTTATGTGTATGTATTATACATGTATTTTTAGAACAATGCTGATTTTTTTTTCTTGAAAACATTTTCTGAAGAAATATCATTAAGATCATTTTAAAGCTTTAGTAAAATATCAATAGCCCTCATTAACACAAGTAATTTTTTTTTTCATCTAAAAGATTTCTGAGGAATATGATTAAGGTAGTTTTAGAGCTCTAGCACAAATACTTTTTCTGTGTTGTAGTTAGTTGAATTCTTCTAAGATATGTTATTACACATTGTACTGGAAGTATTTAATACTTGTGCGGAAATGAATATTACCCTGAGAATACCACAACAGGAAGCAGAGCTTATGTAAGTTCTTCTGATGTATACTCAATAAGTGATATGGAAGGTTGGAGAGTGGAGAAATTATAGGTTAGTTGACACATGCAACTCAACAAAAAATAAAAGAGGCTATCATTATTTAAAGAGGAATTCATTATAATCCAAAAAATTTAAATTAAATTAAATTAGAGTCTGCATTCCTTGAGCTTTTGGAATTATTTCCACTACACAACATCAAACAAGACTTTACATGTCCTTTTTAGTATTTCATAAGGGTAAAAATCTTTATACTTTCAAGATTCCTTTCCTTGCCCTTTCACAGTTTTTATATTATTTGCAAATGACTTTTGGAAGTTGAATTCTTCAGTCCAAGTCCTTTCCTATTTTGTTTCAGTTCCTCTATTTCCATCAGATTTATCCAAGACTTGAATTTGTACCTTCCTCATTATTTGGGTGATATATGCTTTTGACTCATCCCCTCATATGCTTATTAATTCATCACCTAATGGATAGTCAATGTTTTTGCTTATCTAATTTTTCTGAGTGCCCTTTAAATACTTATTTGTGTTTAACTTACTTTAGTGTTCTGATATTCTTTTGTATTGGTCTGCTGCAACTACTTTCTCAGACTTCAGTTGTCTTGGAGTATGTTGTTTTGTAATTTATATCTTCTTCAGCTTGATTGGATATCTCATTGCAGTGGTTCCGTTTTTGAGAGAACATTCCTTTCAATATTTTAAACTCTTCAATCGAATCATGCATCGCTATGCTGAAAATTTGGTTATGTGAAAGGCTCTTCTAGGTTTTCAGGAATCAAACAAAAAGTATTTTATGATGGCTTACTCCAACAACAACAATTACAGTTACATACATAAGTATAATGGGAATCCTCTTTCAGAAGGTTATGAATCTTTTATTCATAACCTACAGTCTGTCTGTGCATTTTCGGAACTTTTTGAGATACTTGTGTGCCACACATCCTTTGAATTGATGAATTAGCATATAGCCTTGGTTTTACATACATTATCTAGAGAGCCTTTGGAACTTTAGTCATTTGTGCTTTGAAATTACTCTTTTTTAAAACTTTTTTACTACTTCTTCACTCAAGTCAGATATTTATGCTATGAGTGCTAACAATATTTACATATTTTCTTCCTTTATTCAAATTTATGTTTTAATCAATTTCTGGATATCTGTTGTGGCATTAGCCTTGTTGGAGAGCATATTTCATATCTTTTCCCTTATATAATTCAGATCAGGGTAATATTGTACATATTTTAAGGAGCTCGTATGATAGGCATTTATCTATAGGAATTAAATGATGTATGGTAACTACTGGAGATGTCTCTTCATATTATTTCTCTGATTATTGGTATTTTCCAGCAGAGGATTGAGTTTATTCTTGCTCACTTCTTTCATGCATATGCTCTTAGGTATGGGACTAGACTTTGGAATAATTGTTATTTTATCAAGTTGCTCACTTTTTACACTAAGTTTTACAAAATCTAAGTGTCCCAAAAGCAATATGTGCCTCTTCTCCCTTCTAGTTTGATATCCACTTCAATGTGGATTTAGCATAGAGCTTTGTTTGAAGTAAGTGTTAGAACTTACTTTTTAGTTAGTTTGTTTATATATAGTAAGTAAATATATGGGTGTGTTGGGCTAAGGATTTTTCTACAGTAGGTGTCTGTGGCTTGTTTGCGGTAAATTCAAAAAAATAAATGAACAGCATGCACTCCACTTGTTTTCAAAATAATATATATATATTTGGAACAAGTTAAATGTATGTACAAAAACTCCTTACACTATGGAGGTCATAGTTATATCTTAAACACTATATAGTTCTCTTCTTCTTGTCAAAAGTTCACTTAGGCCTATTCAATTGCTTTAGAATTCAGTTGACAAGCTAAACTATTTTTCTCTATTTCTATTGCTAGACTATTCATGTATAGTTCACTTACATTTTCATTGAATTACTGTGGTTGTATCCTGTATTTCAAAAATTGTCTACTCCTTTTTTTGTATTTCCACTAATCGTCTGCCTTATGTTAAAGTCCACTCAGGCTGGTTCAATTATTTTAGAACACCCTTTGACGAGACAACTTATTTTCTTTATCTCTTACAAAATTGTTAATCTCATCTGACATATCAACCGTTAGGTCTTTCACACCCAAAACGATTAACTTTGCATTTAACTTTTTTCTGACCAAACTTCTCCTTCCTGGGACTTTACTCTCTTCTGCTCTATTTTCTCATCTGCTTGTTATCATTGTATACATCTATCACTTAGAAATCTCTATAGTCTTGACACCAATTGATTGTTAATCTCACTCTAACATATCAACCATTAGGCCTTTCACTCCCACGACAATTACATTTGCATTTAACTTTTCTCTTACCAAACTTCTCCTTCCCGTGACTTTACTCTCTTATACTCTATTTTCTCATCTGCTCATCAGCTATTTATATACCAACGCTTAACCTTCTAGAAATCTCTATAGTCTCGACACCAATTGATTGCATGCAATGCTCGATATCCTCGACATCATTGAATTACAAACACAAAATAAATTAATTAATAATACCTAAACTAAACAGTCTTTTATATCTGACAGTAAGGTAACAATATTACTACCATTTTACATTTATTATTAACATAAAAGTTAAGTAATTTTAACCTCAATTCTTAAACACATGAAAATTGTGGAAGAAAATGTGTTCAGTTAAGACTTAATGACTGTGAGGTATAGTACAAGACAATACTATGTGCCTGCTACTCTCCTTAGTTAAGATGTAGTTTTTCAGAGTTGTCAGTTTGGATAGCAAGAGTTGCTCAAGTAATACTGTAACTTTTCCTTTTTAGAGAGCATGCAAGATATGTGTTTGCTATTTGGTAATTAACCAACTTTCTTGCAGGAAAAATAGCATGTGACATTCAAAAATAGAAACTATCTTTCCTGTTGGTGAATCAGTTAAGAGTCAGGGGCAGATGCACCCTAGAACTTAGTTCTCAGTAGACACAGATCTTGAATGTAAGGTGCATTTTATGTGCATACTTGACTTTGTTATTTTATTTTATTTTTGCATTTAAAACCAGATTTGCCCATGTAAAACAGAATTAGATGATTTACTGTCAAATATAGCTTTTACACTTTTTTTTAACTATTAGATCTTTCATTTACTTTTAAGCTAACTTTCAACTGAACATAACTTTAGACCTTTTTTACTTCAGTACAGTGAAACTAATAAGTGTTGTATTTAGTAGTGTTAAACTACAAATTTGGGTTTGCTATTAATTATATGAAGTTATGTTTACTTTGTTTGAGTGAAGATAACATAAGTTTAACTTCTTGCAAGGTTTTAATTAATTTTTTGTGTGTAAAATTTGCTTAAAACATGTGTGGTTCTGTTTCACTGTGTAGCCTTAACTTTTAGTTATCACTTAACGATAACTGGGGGTTTCACTTTTAGTTTAAAGTGTTAATTTAACTTAAAATGGGAAGCACACTGAACTGTAGGAAAATTTATTGAAGATTTTTTAACACATTTCTTATTAGTTCCCCATGCACTCCTCTAAACACTTGTCCTTGTTTTGTTTTTGTTATTTTATTTTTTGTGAATAAGCATTTCTTCCTTGTATTTCTGTTGATGTTGAAACAGTCTTTATAATAGATGATCCCATCTGTAAGTTGGAGGGATCATTATACTCCATGGTGTTGGAACCTTCAAACCATCTGTTAGTAGGCATAACTAACTTTTCTGCAGGAAAACCATTTTACCAGGAATACCACAGAGTAGTAAGGTAGGGGAAGTTTTGGTGGGTTTTGGAGTACTGAATTTTCTCTGAGAAGGTTTATGAGCCATGCCTTTGAATGCTCTAGCAAGTACAATGGTTGATCTGTATGGGAATGGTATTATTTACAAGGAGAGTGGTTATGACTTGGATGGGGATATGTCTGGTTCCTGGGCTGAAAGTTTTGCAGGAAGGATGGTCAGATCAGGGGAGGAAGTCATCTCCTGGATCTAGGGCTATTGCTGATGCTGCCAAGATCTATGTCAAACATTAACCAACAGTCAATAAGCTCAGACAACAGGAAAGCCCAAGCAATTGAGGATCATCAAGGTGGTTTCGAAAAAATACCAAGGCACTCCCAACCAAGGAAACACAGCCTCAACTCTGGTTGAGACTGCCTACAGGAGAGAGGCTTGAAATACACATGGTAGACAAACTCTACCAGCACAAATTCTTTTGCCAGCATGTGAAATGGCAAGTATTGGTAAAGATACCAGTGATGATCAATGGTATTGTGGGGTATCACTCCATGACAAAAGGCAGGGCCGTTGAGAGTGGAGACAGGCCCTGGGGCTGGGATCACCCTAGGCCCCCAGAGGGATCCAGGAGCTGAGCCCCTGATGGGAGACCAAGAGGGAAGCTCTAGACTTTTAGTAATTTTAGCAATATTTTAAGTCTTAATACCACTAAGTTATGCCTTAAA